AACATATTTTTCCAAACATCTGCAAAACCCAACGGAGTGCAAATTCACTATGATTCTGCATTTGCAGTCTTGCCAAATACAGCCATAGTGTTTCAACTTTCAAGCACTAAACAATTCAATCCTGTCAAACTCTCAAAATATTTTTCCATCTCCTAGTTGCATTACTTCAAGTAGCTAGTGTGATGTTTGAATTCATGCACTCCTAATCCTAGGACATTGGGGCCTCTAGAAGTTTTGCTCTATTTGAGTGCACTAAACAATTCAATCCTGTCACAATTCATTTTACAAGGAGAATATGTACAGTAAAAATACAGGAACATAGGCTAGCAAATAGTCATGGTGTTGTAGAAAGTGAGCAAGGCCTGGAGATTTAATGGAAGCTTCATAAGCCTTCTAGACAAGTCCAAAGCTTATAGAGGCATCTCTAATGGACCAAAACTCCCTGGAAGATTGTGGAATCTTGTAAAAATTTGTGGATCATCCTAGAGCACACATGGATTAAAATGTCCCTAATTTCCCTAATATTTCCACAGCATATTTCCATTTCCATGGGTAGCAACAAGAAACTTTAACAGTATGTTTATTCCCAAATGAACACTACAGCACTATGTGGAGTACAAGAGAGAGTTTCCATGACATATTTCCATTTCCACTTCCACATGAAACTTTACTGGAATCGACATATTCCCCAGTGAACACTACCGGCACTATGTAGAGTACAAGAGATAGTATTATAACACAAGTTGGTGACAATATTGTGGATATGTGAAGTAACAATGTTATTGGCCACCTAGCTTACATGATTATTTACTTTAAGCTAGCTCAATGTTCATTTCAAACATGAAGTTAAACATTAGTTTTTGTTTATGTAATAGATTATTTGGTTGATCTATTAAAGTCATTTACATTTTCTACAAGTTTAAATTTTGCTTTAACTTATTCTATCATGAAACTCTGAATCTCAAGGTTTACAAGGCAACTTCAAAACATATCCTTTTGTCCATAATTTGTTTAATGATTTGGCACAAGATAATAATTTAAAAAGGTGTACCTATGTTTCTTCTATTATTTCATAAAATATCATTCTATATTTTGCATATTTTGTAATGTTTCCACCATGTATATAATTTTTTACAAATTTCCATATGATATTTCCGACATTTCCAGCATGTTTCTAATATTTGGATGACAGACCCACCAACATTTTAAACCTTGCCTACAGGTGCCAAGAGGGATCTAGACAAGCTCCAAAATATCCTAGTAATAAGTAGAAGGGGGATGGGTCTAGAAGGGGTTCTAGACTATTCTATGGGTGGAAGTTTGTACATAGTTCTAAAGTCTTCTGTATGGAGGTGTAGCGTACTAGCATATACACAGGGGTCACCTCCCTCATGTGTAGCCAATCCGAGTTTTGTAAGCATTCTTTGAGTAGTGTAATCTCTTAGTGAACACAATCTTTCTTCCCTACAATACTTGGTGTGTTGCCGTGCCTTGGTTGGGTGACCTTTGCACTTAAGCAGCCTAGCAAGAGTGACCTTGGGTGTGAGTTTGGCTGACTTGCTTGAAGGGCCAAATGAATTCCACACAACTTAGCCAACAGGAGAGGTCAGGTTGTGACAAAATGCTACCTAACCATTATCCATAGAGAATTTACAACTTTACAAAATAGCACTCCAAAACAAGATTTTCCTATTTACTCCCTGTCAAGCCAACTGGTCAGCTACACTGTTTGCTTCCCTAAGAGTTCATGACCCAACTGCTCCCAATTCTCTTGAAGACATGAAGCCTAAGTATATCTGTGCTGCAAAACTCCTTCTGAGTTTGAAGAATAGTTGGTTAGCCACGAGTGTGGGGTTCCATACCCACACTCAGGCTCTAGTGTGTGTGGTTTCATACCCACACCTAATTGTTTCTAATTTCTTATATTAGTAGTTTCTAATTTCTTTTATTAGTAGTTTCTAATTTCTTTTATTAGAAGTTTCTAATTTCTTTTAAGTTGGGCTGGCTGGCCTTATTATTTCTATTTTTTGTTTATTTCCTATTCTTGTAAGGAACCTAAAGCTATAAATAAAGAAGTGTATGGAGTGGCAGATCATTAACCACCGAACCCTTCTTTCTTTTCTCCTCTCTTCACTCTTCTTCTCTCTCTCTCTCTCTTTTTCCTTCTCTTCGAACAACATGAGAATTGTTTAGGGCTGAAAGTTCAGAAAGATCCTTCGGCTGATTCTTGGAGGTTGCAAGAAGGCTTTGCACAACTCATGATTCAGATCAGTCTCTAGTCTTAAGACTCAATCATCCATTTCCATCGTTCTAGTTTGCGGCGCTGATACCAGTTTTGTTGAATTTTGCACAACTCAAATGCTACTCCGAAGGAGCTCAGCTTCCTAAGAAGAAGAAAAAGATGAGGGAGAGAATGCAAATTAAGCAAAGGTTTTATTATTCTCTTTGATAATTTGATATTTAAAGGCCATACATCCAATGATTAGATCACAATTCTTTCACAATGACTATGTGATTCTCCTAACATTCATAACAAGTAGAGCTGGAAGGTCACACCTGTGAGCTGGTTCGATGCGGTCTGCTGCTCCATGGGCTGGACGACCTGGCCTGGGCTTGTGTGGGTCCTAACAGAGTATTAGGCTGGCTTTTAAAGTTGGAAATAGAGAAAAAAAGAATAGGATAGTAGTTGTTCAAAGAATTCCAACCCCACCACATGTCTTCCCAAAACCCTACCTTCTGGCCACAAGCAGCATCATATCAAATGCAATGAAGGAAATGGGGCAACTGATCCATAATAGCCTTCCAAGGAGAAGAAAGAAAAGCCCTAGCAGTTAATCAAACATCCCACCCATTTCCAGCTAAGCCATGTATGTTTACAATTACTTTATGCCACAAATTATCCAATTCCAAGGGGAAACACCACAGCCACTTCCCAAGCAGAAACATGTTTCTAACCCTCAAATTGCACAGCACCAGACCCCTTGCCCTTTTGCTTTTACACACAAGTTCTCAATTTACTACTTCCTTTTCATCTCCTAGCTCCCACAAAAAGTCCATCACTTTCTCTAATTCATTTGCAATGGAGACTAGGATTCTAGCCCTTGGGTTTACCCCTAGTGGTAAGCCTAAGTATTTAATTGGCTAATCTGAGACAACATAGCCCAAAGTCAGATGCTATTCTCTCAAGCTCCTGCTCAACCATATTAACACCTAGAATGCAACTCTTGCCTAAGTTCACTTTTTGATACTCTCTCAAAACAAGAAATCAACAGCTTCAAATTTAATGCTCCTGCTTCTCCTATATCCTCGCAAATAAGTAGGGCATCATCAGCAAACGACAAAATAATTAACAACAAAATTGTCTCTCCCAACTCTCCACTCCCTAAGGTTGGGAATGAAAAATTAGTTAGATTCTGGTTGCTTGTTTAGTGGAAATTTTGCCTTCTGAGATCCTATCTGCAACATCCAGGGCTTCAAGAAGTATTCAAAAGGTCTTAGATTTTGTTCTTCTAAAAGTTCATAGACCATTTACTAATGCACAAGCAACAATAGAAGGTCACTTAGAAGTTAATAGACCATTACAAAGGTATAAACCACATAGCGGCATGCAAGAAAATAACCAAAAAAAAGCTTACACAAGGAACTTGCCCAGGTTACCTTGCTCCTCAGTAGGGATGTCAGTGGGTCAGGTTGGATTCAGGTTAGTCTTAATCGGGTTTTGTGTTAGGACTGCAACATGTGCCCAATCCATTGGAGATAGAGACATTGAAAAAAGATGTAAGTATAGCCATCACTAATAATAGATGATTTTTCACAGAATGGATAAGGTCAGGTTCACAACCCTACTCCATTTAGTCAATTTAAGTTTGGATTGGTCCAAACTTGTACAGACCCAACCCTTTGATATTCCTGATCCTCAGCTCAGGCAAACACCTTCCGAAAGTAGTGTTGCCTATATTCAAGTGAAACACATTCCTTAAAATGTGCCCTACCTGTGTGCGGCACATCTCAGATGCAAACATCAGTAATGTCTTCTTAATATTTTAAATAATCAATCTTTTATTTCATCACCATCATCCAAGTCTTATCCTAACTATAATGGGTTGGCTACATAACCAGTGTTTTAAAAGGTGTGGGAGGCGTACACCTGGAGGCGCGCCTCTAGGCAAGGTGCTCCCACTGACACCTCTGAGGCGTACGCCTCATACGCCTCATGCACACCTCATATAAAAAGACAGAAAAAAAAAAGAAAAAAAAAAGAAAAAAAGGAAAGGAAAGGAAAGGAAAGGGAAGGGAAGGGAAAGAAAAAGAAAGAAAGAAAGAGAAGAAAAAAAAGAGAGAGAGAAAAGGAGAGGGAAGGGAAGAAAAGATAAGAGAAAAGAAAGTGGTCCCTCAATTAGTGTTATGCATCTTTGTTCTTCTTAATATAAAAGATTTTTATTAAAAATAAAGAAAAATGGGATCCCCCCTTCCTCTTCTTCTTCTTCCTCACTCCCCTCCTCTTAAGGAGGCTTCCGTCTCCTTGTGTTCGGGAGGCTTACGCCTCTTATGTTCTGAACTACGCCTCACGCCTCTATGTAGTGGAATGCCTCCACGTCTTAAAACATTGTACATAACTATTTGGTATACACCTCACAAAAAGGTCATTACCCAGTAATCTAGGGTCTTAGGAGGGATGAATAGGATATGCACCTAACCTTTGGCCTTTTTTTACAGAAAGTGTCCATTCTTAGACTTGAACCCCTGTTCTCATGCTTGTCAGCCCAAGATTTTACCATTACACCAAGCAATGGTCCCTCATCTCAAAAAAAAAAATAACCATAAATGAAAAAACTAATAGTAATAATCATATAGTGTTCATCAATGGAGAAAAGAAATGCAAATCCTACAACAAAGACTCATAGAGGAAGTAATATGACTAAAGCAAGAAAACAAAAATGAAAAAGTTAACTTTGGTTAAATGGAAAAGAATTAAGATCACAGTGAGGAAATTCTCTTACCAGGCCCAAGAATATTTTGATTGTCAATCTCAATGATGTAAGAGGAAAGAAAATTGACATATAGCGTGGTATTGATTAATCCATTTTCAGAACTTTGTAGAGAGGCTTCAAGCTGACTTTTCTCAAAAAAATTTGAACCAGGGAGAAATTCATGAAATAGAGGCTGGAGGAGCTTCAAATCATGTATATTATGATACACTCGGGGAAATAAATGGAACTTCAAGATATTTACATCTGCCCCTCGGAATGTAACTGGCCTATAATCTATGTTGCTTCCATTCTTCAGTATGCCACTGACAAAACTCACATGTTTGTTATCACCATGGCCCTTTGCTGTAAGATTAAATTGAAAACCCACTGCAGTGGCAGGGTCATTTGGAAGATCAACAAACTGCCATGAAATGTATATGTTATCAGGAATGATCTGGCAACTGTTGCACTTGAGATTTATGGTTGGTCCTTGGCTAGTGTTGTGGCATGAATAGTTTGCAAAGATTGACAAAGGAGAAACTTTAAAGTCAATGGAGCCTGGATTCCCTGATATTAGTGTACCAAGGCCACGCAAGTGAGAGCAGCTCATACTAGAAATGGTAGTTATATTAAATTCCATGTCATTATTAATGGAGAGTAAATCGGGTGCATTTGTTGCCTTAACATTATGCACCTCAACAGATCTTTTGGAAATAATCTGGTAAAGCAACCTGTGAAAAGACCGAAAGAACCAAGTCAATATCAACTTAGTTTACATAAACAAAAGACAAAGTGCTGTAAGACATAACTGTCACGTAGAAAAAAAATGGCATCAATCACTTACGCAGCAAATAAGCCAACAAAAAGTATCCAACTTGCTACAGAAAAAGTTCCACCAAGCTCTGTTTGTCGTTTCATCACAACCTTACGGTCATCCTACATCAAAGAAATTTCATTTGCAGATATGAACTAAGCATTATGTTAGAATCCCGTACTATGAAATTAGTGTAAAGAACACTAAATGAACTATGCTCAACCTGCTTGTGATCTTTTTTTTTGATAAACCTACTTGCGATCTTGTTTTTTTTTTCGATCAGCAAAAATTTTCATTAATAACAGAGAATTTCAGTTACAATAGATAAAGATTGCAGAGGGACATCTAAACTGCAATCTCCAGCAATTAGTTACAATTCTGCCCAGTACAATGAAGATCTATTTGCCCCATGTTTACCTACTTCACCTACTTGTGATCTTGTTGATTAAATATGAAAATGTTTTCCACACTTATTTGGTTTTTATTTCATTTAAATTTAAAATTCTGTTGACTTCACCCTTAATTTGAGGTTGCATTGCTTTATACCAACTTATTCCAAACACGTTTTTACAACACGGGCTACACAACTAAACACATTGTAGCACATCTCCTTAGATTAGATGTGTCTTAGAAACTAGACCTTATTGATGTGTAAACAGTTCAGACGGCAATGGCATAGGAGTCTTTTCTTTCTTTCTTTTTATTGGCTAAATATATTGTAACTTTAAGTAGGGGCATAAGGATAATATTTGTTCTGGGTCTTAATCGCATGGGCTTGAGCCTATTATTGTCTATTATGTACTTGTTTTATTGGGTATGTAATGGGCTTGGGCTTATGTTGGTCTTTTATGTTCTGTTCTCATGTATTTTTGCTGCCACCTAAGCAGGGGCATACCTGTCCATGCATGTATTATTGTAAAACCCTCATTTATATATCAATAAGGGGCTGGAAGAGAGTAAGGACGCCCATTCTTTCTTTCAAACTCTCTTCTCTTCTCTAAACTAGGGTTTGAATCTTTGTGGCATCAGAGCAATAATCCTGCCCTAGTTTATACTGTTCGCTCCCCTTATCTTGACTTTCAGGTTGCTTTTTCTTTCTAGTTCTGGTTGCAACTCTCTAGGTTTTTCCTTGGGGTTTGTTGAGGTTTTAGACAAATTGTGTAGTCTATAGTGGTACTTTTTTATTATTTATTGTTTAGATAGGAAGTGAGAACCACAACACTCTTATTGGGTCCTTTTTGAGCAGTTATTTTAATTATTTTATGCTGTTTTATGTGTTAGCCGCCCTATAAGGGCATATTGGTCTTTGTACTCTATTATTTCAGACTATAAATAATAGTGAAAAGGGCGGCCAGTATTATTGCTCTCTTTTCTCTCTCAAATCTCTTTTCTTCCTTTTCTCCTTCTTCTCTTCTTCTTCAAGAAATATTCTTTTCTTTTACAGATTTTTTTATTTCAGCACCTTTCTACTTGGTATCAGAGCAAGTTTAGGGTTTCTTGAAATTTTTTCATGCAGTCCTAGATCAGCCGATTGAATGAGGAGATAAAGAATTGACTGATCTACTTTAGATTGCCCAGTTCTTGGATTTGCTGGTGTGATCTAGTCATTAGGAGGGTGATCTATGTTTTGGCATCAAAACCAGGAAGAACTAGAGTGCAAGGAAGAGTCCTAGTCATGTTGGACTCTTCAATTTTGATCTGATCTTGGGCACTCAGGTATTGTTGGACTTCTCTAGGTATTCTATAGGTGGAGGTTAGGTTTCTAGAATTTTTTGGGCCTTTTGAAATGGCCGATTCAATTTTCTCTCTAGTGGGAGATAGTGGGAGAAAGATTTCTCTTTGTATAGGATTTTCTTCTTCCGGAAAGGTTTGTTACCTTTGTGTGAGAGATCAATTTGACCTTAGAGGCTCTCTACCTAATTTTTTTCTACTTTTGAACTATTTTAAGTAAAATGGAGAGTTGGAGTGCCGAGTAGAAGTCCACCTGTAACATGGGTCTGGGTGTTGGAGGTAGTAGTGATATTTTTTGGTCTGGAATTATTACTACAGTGAAGTTTGATGGTAAAAATTATCTAAAATGGGCACAATCAGCCAACATGGCCATTGGTGCTCATGGAAAACTAGGGTACATCATTGGGGAGTTAAAGAAACCCGATACAGATCCTTCCCGGTGGGTACAGGAGAATTACATGTTGATGACTTGGCTGTGTAACTCTATGTTACCTCACATTGGTAAAAATTTTTTGTGGGCTAATACTGCAAAGGAGATTTGGGATGGAGTGACTGAAACCTATTCCCAGAAACAAATGTAGCTAGAGCCTATCAATTAAGGAATCCTGTGATTAGTACAAAATAGGGAGATAGACTTCTTGCCACCTATTTCTCCATGCTGAAAACTCTTTGGCAGGAGATCGACCACTTAGAAACTGTGCTTTGTGAGAGTATGAAGGATGCAGCAACCTATTAGGGGTTGGTAGAGAAGAATAGGGTTTTTGAGTTCTTGGCTAGGCTGAACCCTGAATTCGACATTGCCAGGCAACTCCTTTCTAGAGAAAGTGTGACTCTTTCTCAAGCTTATGCCTGTCTCTGGGAGGAGAGGAGGAGGAATGTCATGTTGAGACAGCTTGGGAATGATCAGTCAACTATGGTTAGTACAGTTAAATCTAAGCCAAATGGAGACACCTATTGGAAGCTTTACTCTCATCTCGTACCAGCTCGGATCAAGAACAAGAATGGAAATGCAAATGTGGCAATTATAGGAGATCCTTCAGAACCCCTCTCCCAGGCTGATCTGGAGTCCATTGAGTAGCAACAGTGAGGATTGAATTTGAAAAGTATGGACAGCTTATGAGTAAGAAGGATTCAGCCAACTCTAGTTCTTCAGATGGGCAGAACAGTGCAGAAGACAACCATACTACTTCCTTTGCTCATACAAGTAGTGAAGGGATAGAGAGATCCATCATATAGATGGCCGAACCCTACAGGAAGGTAGGGCGAAATTTCAAAAATTTGTCTCTCTCCCATGTGGGAATCACATTCCCTATTTTAGAAAATTGCATTTTCAATGATCAATCTGGAACCCAAACCAGACCAGATCTGAAACCAAAAAAGGAGTGGAGGGTTATACCTGATACGAAGTAACAATAACCTCCAATGAAGGTGTTCACACCCAAGGAAATATCCAAAGACTGCTTCCACCGAAGATGACACGGCGCAGGATGAAGCAGAATCAGCAGGATGGCTCTTTAGCAAGAATCTGATGGAGGGCTAGTGAGCACAACTTCTGATTACCTTTTCTACCAAAAGGTAATATCAAGAACACTTCTTGATCACTCCCACAGGTGGAGATCGAACTGGTATGGCGGCAGGAGAAGGAGAGAGCAAGAACAGAAGACAGAAGCAGTCAAATTGTATGTTGTCCTCTCTCTTAAATCAGTAGATTGATGGATGAACTGGAGGTTCACCCTGCTCCTCTATTTATAGCCTTAAAGAGAGGTTCTCCTAATCCCATTAGGAATTTCCTAATCCAAATCTTGTATTTGAATCTGGACTCTCTTTAARAGATAAAGATAATCCCTTATCTTATCTATAGATAAAGATCAGCCCTCCTAATCTAATTAAGAGTTATCTGATGGAGGGCTAGTGAGCACAACTTCTGATTACCTTTTCTGCCAAAAGGTAATATCAATAACACTTCTTGATCACTCCCACAGGTGGAGATCGAACTGGTATGGCGGCAGGAGAAGGAGAGAGCAAGAACAGAAGACAGAAGCAGTCAAATTGTATGTTGTCCTCTCTCTTAAATCAGTAGATTGATGGATGAACTGGAGGTTCACCCTGCTCCTCTATTTATAGCCTTAAAGAGAGGTTCTCCTAATCCCATTAGGAGTTTCCTAATCCAAATCTTGTATTTGAATCTGGACTCTCTTTAAGAGATAAAGATAATCCCTTATCTTATCTATAGATAAAGATCAGCCCTCCTAATCTAATTAAGAGTTTCCTTATCCAAATCTCTATTTGGATATGGACTCTCTGAGTGGATAGGAACAATCCCTTATTCTATTTGCTGATCTAAATCCCAGAACCGCCCCTCTTTAATTAATCTCATTAAGCCAGTTCGAATTGGGCTTTAGGCCCATTAAGCCTATGTGCTCACTTACCCTCCAAACTGCTGCCCAGTTGGACATCCTTGTATTGCGTGAGACCCAAACAATGATCTACACATCAGCCAAATGAGTTCAGCCCAACCTCTGTTACAAGGCCTGGCCGAATTCACTGTAGGAGACAGTGAACCCCTGAGTCCATCACCATGGGCTCTTAATGGGCCCAACATTTACACTAAATGGTCCCTTGGTCAAGCCACCTTATAAAAACCTAAGGACTGTGGGCAGATGCAAGATTAGCCCATCAGGTATTACCCTCAATGGTCTTGCATTTAACCT